ACCAACTACAGTATACCTTTTAAATTTCGTTCCTGATGAGGTACATCTGTTCCTTCACCGGCTTTTCCGAGCTCATTGAGCAGAAAATTAGCCTGCTTCTCAGTCAGTAATATGTCTTTGTCAAATATACCGTTATCAGCAGCCACGACCTGAAAAGCTAAAAAAAGCTGAGAAAAGCTAAGAACCTCAGAGGAAAGAGGAATGAACTGTTAGCGCTTAGTTTTGGGATAAGCTACGCGCCAGTATAAGTCGAGGAAGCATTTGACTTCGTCTGGCTCATGTTCAGTGTTCTTTAAGACAAACTGTACACTCACTCTCAAGGGCGATTCTTGTCATGTGCGAGAAGAACGGGGTGACAGCAGCGGAAGTATTACACTTCCGTCACTTGAGAGAGCGCAAAGTAGGCTGGACGGTGCTCGAGGGTGGTACTACCAGGACGCCATTTAGGACTCTCCCCTGCCATTCTTAAAGACAGTTGGCACGATGGCTGGGGGCGGGCGGTTACTTGCAACGTCACTGGTGGAAGGGCTGAGTGGGGTGTGGCCAAACGCCCTCTCGCAGCTCTTCCACTAATGACGTTGGCAGTTAACTGCCCGCCCATAGCTATCCCTCCCACTGCCATCAAGGTACACCACTTGCGTGGATACCAAAATCCCGCAGCAAACACACTGTTGTCGGTAGAGATGAACCAGAAGTGAGAGAGCGCAGACAAGTAGCGCGCTTGGCTATGATTGGGCGTCCGGCTGGCCTTACGGCAGAGCGGGCGGAGTGTCGATACGGCACTGAATTACCTCTACAAACCAGCCCTTCTTCTGTGCACTGCAAGCAGCGAAAATGGCACGCTATTGCAGTTGCGGGGCCCCATTCACTCACGCATGGCAAGGACCAGAACCCACGGACGTGAGTACAGAGTTTGTCTCCGAAGCGTTGAAAATGATGATAAGAAGACCCGTACCGTGTTAGAAAGGTTTGCTTTTTCCAAGAGGGCTTGTTTGACTTGCATTGTCCTGTCCATTCGGAAATTAATGCTGTCTGTATTGTCTTTCCCAGTGATGGCTTTTTCAAAATTGAAGACCTATAAAAATAAGTAATAATATGAAGATTCTACGGAAAAGCTGAATAACGTCATGAGACACCTGCCTCGTACCTTTTGAACAACCGTATCCTTCACAGAAAGTTGTTCTTGATTCTGCTCCATACACTTGAAATTACGGCAAACATCCTAAAACAGTGGTTGAATTCCATCACTACAGGAGATGCGAAATGTAAAAATTGTTTACTCGAATTGTGTTGCTGATTTCTGGATTGACGATTCCAAGCTGATGGATGAAAGCCCGAGCTGCGTTGACGAGATCAGGGCTGATACCAGCAAGCGGATCTTTGATGAAGAGTCTATAAGAGCTCTTGTACTGTCAGAAAGAACTCGTGGCAAACTATACTTGTAATTTCGTATAACTCAAGAATTTAAAAGTACTAAATTAACGGCCTACTTGGGAACTTTCGGCAAGAATTTTCCACCCTCTCGAACCACAGTGGTGATAATAGTCGAAAGTTCTTCAAACAACGGAGTTCTTCCTCCACTGAAATCATTCTGAACATTTTTGAAAGCGACAGATTCCTAGAAAGGTACAATACATATACCACTATCTACTGGTTCAAACTGTGTTCGAAGTTTAC